GCAATGCAATTAATATTCCCATTATTATTATTATTATTATTATTATTATTACAGGCCCAAATGACGTAGGCTTTTTATGTTTATGATATAAATTGTCACCCAGAAAGAAAGGTTTTTCTTTGTAGGAACACCAACACATTTCATTTATTGCTAGAATTTACTACAATAATATACCTACCACAAGCTTGAATTTTAATAGGGATAATTAAACAAAATGTCAATCTAGTTACCTGTTCCTAAATTGGTAGAGGATAATTGCTAGGAAAGTTCTGTGTCTCTGCATTGGAGGATTTTACATACAAAACAAAGCAATACATTATAGAATGTGATTTTCAGTTAGTCCCCTTAGCATAGAGCACAAACTCCACATTATCATCATAAAATTATTGAATGCATAAAAGCAAGATTTCTGCCCTAGAAGGTAGTGTCATAATTCAATTTACTACCTTTTTCTCCATTTACATTTAGTGGTTTGGGGTTTTTTTCTTTGCTTTTTAACACTCAACAGCAATATGCCTTCTTCATAATCCCTCATATCTCTACATGCACCAGAAAACATACTGAAAACTAGAGACAAGAAAGCTGATATAATGGTTCCAGCCTGACAAACATTTACATTTTCATTAATTTTGTATTAGTGCATGAAATTAATTCACCAGTAAATTTTATTGGAACAGATGAAAAGTTTTTGAAAATTGCAGGGATTTATATTCACTGGATTTTTTAATGTCTTTTGCTTTTGTGCTTAAAATTTATGGGATTTTTTTTTTTCATTTTCCCAAAATATTAATTCAAATTGCTGACACAACTCCCTAACTAGTGGTGACTATAGTCAGCTATTGACCCTAAAATATTAATTAATCTATGGTTCCTCCAAGCTGATAAACAGGGTGTAAGATTTTTCTAAAATTATTACTATTAATTTAGTTGTTTTTGAGATTTTTTCATTGGGCTTGATTTCAAAGTCTGGCATGTTGCCTTCTCTGTATATTAAGAGAAAAAGCAAAATAAATAATTGCTTGTCACTTCTGTACACTTTAAAAACTCGCTGTAATGTAAAGCCCACATCACCTAAGTAGATGAGACAGAGGTTAAGACTAAGGTTTTAGCACATTATATGGGAAGTTTGCACAGTGCTAACACTTGGCATTAGCTGAGATTTAACTGTGGCCTACTAGTATGAGTACTGGAATTTGCCAAACAATTTTGCACGATTATACGTTAATATTGCAAACTGCTTGTGTGAAAATATACAATTAAAAAAAAAAAAAGAGTGAAAGATAAGAATCAGAAAGAAAAGTGATAAATAAAGCACCAGTTGAATATCCAATTACAGGTCAAAGATGAGCAAGGTCAAATCAAAGCAGCAAATTCTAATTTCCTGAAATAGAAGATCCAAACTGGAATTGCGCAGAGCTGGAGAAGAATCTTGCTGGTCAAGGCAAGCCAGCCTTTAAGACGTCTAGGTCTCAGCAGGTATGAAACTAAAGGATAGGACTTAGGCTTTAATCAAGAGTCCAAAAAAATCTAACATGAACTGACTATTTCCTGGGAAAATTTCAACAGTTGGAGATAAAATTATAAATTATATAGATGAAAAAAGAAGTAAAATACTATTTTTTGCACTTCTTCCTACAAAGACAGGAAACATGGAAGTTTGAATAGTAAGCTATGAAGTTCAATGTTGATATTTTAAGTAAATGCAATGAAAATTAAGTCTCACAGCTTCATGCTCATTTTCATGGCACTGCCTGGAGTTGGCATTTGAAATGCTGTATTTGAAATGCTTTATTTGAAATACCAAACAATATAGTTCGTGCACCTACTTGATTAATTACTTTCAGTCATATTTTAGCACCAATAGTGTAAATAAATAATAGGAATGCTATTATACACACAGCCTTTGGCTAATATTGTCAAGGTCTCTGCTAAGACTAGAAGTCATGACCAGTGCCTGCTCTGCAGTTTTGTGTGTGTGAATCAGAGTTGCTTTTCACTTCACAAATTGCTATCTAAATGAGGCACACTTCTTTGCACAAAGGGAGGTTTCATGACTAGAGTTTTATTATGGCTATTTCTGATAAAATTTCATTTTGAAAACTGCTTTTAAAACCATTTATGTACCCATTAGCTCTCAGTGCAGTATATAAATGAGATAATTGCAGAAAACAGCCCAATGAAGGGTTCTCTATGGTCTTGGAAAGTGTCTGTTTCTAGTTAATCATCCAATGATATTGCATTGCCTACTTTGTGTAGCAGGTGAAGAAGAGAAAAAATGAACCCATAAAGAGACCTCACTGACACACCCATGTTAATTACCCTCCATTCTGAGTATTTATTTGCATAGATACTTTGCAATTCTTCATAAGACTTGCAAGTATTACATTACTATATTTGATCATGTCTTTGAAGATTTTAATTGAGGATATTATCATTCCTAACCATTTTCCCAGTCTCAGAACAGAAATTCCTTGCAATTTCACTTTGCTTATATTGAAAAAATATTTAAAACACACTTTTATATCCTCTGTTGATAAAATTAATAGTTTTTGCAAATAATCTTATAAGAAAATTAGTATCAAATTGGCTTTAATTGTCAAGGTTGATCAAGATCATTTCTCTGAAGACTGGTTGTAATCAAATAACTGGGAAAATGAGAGAAGTTTCCATGAGGAAATGAAAAAGCACAACAAATAGCAGATGTTGTCAGCAAAATGGCACAGATTTTGAAGACCAAGAAAAACTACTACGTTTCATGGACAGTAAGGGGGGTTGCAATACTGTGTCTGTGTCATCAGCAACTGGATATTTTCTGCCTTGTAATTTTCAGTTTTTTGAATAAGTCTCTCTGGGTTTTCAGGTTTAAATCCTTTGGGAGCAAGACATTGTAAATACTCTTCAGCCACTAGAGAATAACTATTCTGTAAGGTATGTATGCTTTGGTGTTCAGAAGGAGGCCCATAGCAATTTTCCATGCAGCCAACCTCAATATAACAAAAGAGAGTCACATTCACTGTTATAGACAGTTGCAGAAACTTACATTTCCAGTTTCCAATGCCAAGCTATTACATCCTCAGGGATGCAAAATTTTGAGAAAATGAACATGTATTTCATGTCATCAGAAACAAAAGATGTTTCTCCAAGAGAAAGTCTTGCCTTTCTCTAGCTATTGCATTTTTGCCAAGATTATAGACAAAATTAATGGATAAAAGGAAACACACTATATAATCGAAGACATCCTCCCTAGAGTTTTCTTATGCCTGGAGGATGAATTGCTCCAGTGGATGTCCTCCCTGCCTTTCATGATGAGGTCAAGAAACTTTCTGTCACTACCACTGTTGTGATTAATGATCTGACTAGTAGTGACAGTAATCAAACCATAGACTGTACAGCTAGTTCGTGCTAGTCTCTCAGTGGTTTGAGTCACTGCACTGGCAGGAGATCTATCTGCTTCTCCTACAGACATCTCCTTGTGTCCTTCTTGAAGAAATTTTTCATGAAAATTTCTTCAAGAAACCAAAACAAATCATGACAAGAAATTAAAACATTACATTATATTTTTAAAAACCAAGAGACAAAAACTTTAAAACATTTTAAAAAGAGTGCATAATGAATAATTAAACTACTAATAATATAATCCTCTTAAAAGCATAAAACCACTGCTTGAAAAGATTAGGTGTCTAACAGCTCTCAGTACAATGAAAGTGGTATAACAGAAAAAGCTGAATTTCCTTCTCTCTCCATTTTTTTGTAGCAGTTTCAGTAGATCCACTTTGATTATATTTTAATAAATGCTCACTAGTTGAACATACAAATATATCTGTATATATTAGTAGGCAAAAGGTTAGTATAAAAATATCACATTGGCTAAACAATGGTAAGGGTTAAAAGGTTAAATTTTGAAGCTGGTTTGATGGCAAAGTCCACTAAAACCTGAAGATGAAACAGAACACAGGAAAGGAGATGACAGCTGAAATGAAAGAGACTGATAAAAAGGTTGTATAAAAATAACAAGGGAAAAATCTATTAAACCTATTCTATTTTCAGAAATAAATTTCAACTTCCATCTGGTTAAATGCTATCTAAATTAATTCTTTGAACCACACAGGAGATAGAGTACTAGAAATAGAAAGTACTTATAATATTCTTGAATCTTGGTAACAAGTCAACTCCTATTCCGTTTATCACTATCTGAAATTCTCTCTCCAGGCCTATCCCATAACAGGATATTTAGCACATCATGAGGGAAACAATGAACATTGGCATCGGCAAGTCAAAAAGGAGCACATTAAGAAAATGAGAGTGTATTTGGGAAGAGAGCAAGCAAGGGATCCCTGGAGGCAGCCTAGTGGATTGTGGGCTTCCCCGCAGTAACTCACAGTTCTGCTTTGCATGACAACTTTGCTCTTTAACACGCTGAGCAAGATAGAGATGCAAGCCTTAGCAGGTGAAGCTCCCAGCTGTATCATGAGGAAGACTGGGTGGTTTGTAGCGAGGAGCTGAGAGAGCCAGATTGAGCAGGACAATGAGTTTGTATTATATGAAGACAGCTGTCTTGTCTTTTTCTAACATATTGGGCTTTAGGACAAATGCTGCTATGAATGCATGGTTTCTGTCTAAAGGAGTGCTCTGCATGAAGAAATCCGTAAGTTATGTAACTCCTGCTTCAGACAGCTTCTACCCTGATCCCTTGCCTCGACAGAACCAATTATCTGCCTATTATTGTATGTAGTATGCCTTATTTATGTATTTATTTATCTATTGTAAAAACTAAAACTAAAAAATGCAAAACAAAACAAAACACACCATTCTGACCACATTTTGGAGAGGGTAGAAAAGAACCCAAAGGTTCCATTGTCGTCTCATGATAATCCAGGCCCAAAAACCAGTCTAGGAAAAAAAATTATAAACCTAAAAGCTTGATAAGATTTGATAAGCTTGATAAGGCTTTGATAGCTTTTACAACCATGATAAAAAAAGCATGAGATAGGTAGATTTCGCTCTAATTTTAAGCTCTTTATTGTTCAGAAAATAATTTTCCTTCTCATGGATTTTTACTTGAGTGATCATCTACCAGATAGGCATTGACTACCCTGTCACAGAGAAGAATAATATATGTTTCACTTCAAATTAATCTTATTAATAAAACATTCATGGAAAAGAACTGAACTACATTTATTTGCTGCTAAACTCAGAGAGCTACATTTTAATCTCATCATAATATGACCTTCCAAAGTCTCTTCTGCTTAGTCCTTTTTAGGATGGAGGAGAGAACTGGTTGCTTTATTTTCTTCTTAACTGTATTTAAAACACGAAGAAGACGCATTTTGTATTTAGTTTGCCTAGGTAAAATGGGTATGGAGATCAGGAGGGAAAGGATGGCAAGAGCAAGAATAAGCTTTAATAAGAATATGAAAATAGCCTTTATAAAACAAGGATAAACAGCATTGCAATCTAATTTACCCCCACATAAAATGCAAAATAGAACTCTGAGTGTAAAAAAACATTAGTATCTTTATTGCCAGCTTAATCTTAACTAGTCTTTTCTTACATTACTTCAATAGCTAGAGTAATTCATCTGCATGAAATTTAAATGAATAAGGTTAGCCTTGCAATGAAACTATGCTGATTCTTACCCTTCTATTCACAAAATACTTCATTAGTATTTGCATATGTTCCTAAGTCAGTTCCAGGCAGGATCAGCCTCCTCAGAATGTCAGCAGCCCTGAACAGTTTTCCTCTGAACATCCCCTTCCTTTGTAATACATAAATACAATCTTCTGGGGCTCTGTAATTATACAAAATGAGCTTTAATGCTGCAAATTACTTCAGCACCCCTATGATTTATCTGTTGTAAACACACTTTATAATATTTATATTCCTATTAGAACCTCCACTAATAATGAGCTGACAGAACATAAATATTTACATGATAGTACATGGACAAATACGTGATACCCTCTTATTAGTTACGTTTCTGGTTCACTCTATCACATTTGAAAAAAAAAAATAAACCTCTGCAATTTTCTGTCTTCACAAAAATATCTTTGAAAATGGCTCAGAACATTAACATAGCTTCACATTTGCCACACTTTTCTTTAAAAGAATGGCATTTCTTCATACTTATGCAGTCTGGGTTATTACTTCTTCACATTATGCATCATTACTCTGAGTAGGTGTCTTATCAGCAGCTCCAGTTGTTGTGGAGACGATTGGAATTAAGCACTGGAAGCTTTTTATTTATCTTACTTGCTTTATTCCTACAAGATTTTCAGCATATAAGCTTCTTTGTTCAGCTCAGAATTGGATACATTGCCAGGCATTGTAAAATTTACATCTTCCTTTTTTTATTATTTGTTCTTAAATTGGATTGAAAACAAAGTATGGTTTTAATTAAAGCTCTGCTTAACAATAGACAAATTTTCCATACAGTGGAATTTCTGAGCAGTTGTGAGGATTTTGCAAAGGCCTAATAGGTGACATTCACTGCTAAGCCCCAAGTAGAACTGCAATATACTTACCTGTGCTAAGTGTCTGCCTGACAATACTCACACAAAGAAAACTCTAATAACGCTGTCGAAATACTGACTTAGCCAACAAAACCCATGGAATTTAAAGTGAAGGTTACCTTAAACTGGCTATGATATATAATAACTTACAAGTTCAAGGATAAATGTTGATGTTTAGAGAAGTAAAAGGAAAGAAAGGGCACGTGGGGAGGGCAGGAGGGGTGGAGGGAGCAAGGGAGGGAGGGAGGGAGGGAGGAAAAAGGAAGGACGGAAGGACGGAAGGACGGAAGGAAGGCACAAAAAATCTGCAATAGTGAATTAGAAATAAATTTCAGCCTTTCTATCAAGGCTGATTCTACACTAGATATGCTATAGATGACAGAAAGATGAAAAACAAAAACTCAAACAAACTTACTGGTCAGTCTGTTAAAAGCTGTTCAATAAACATTCCCATTCTAAAGACTGCCTGAGGCTTTTTTTTCTCCTTTCCTCAATATTTCACAGCAGACATCTGCTATTCAAACACAGATTTTTCCATTGCCTGATGAAACTGAAGATAGTAGTTTTTTGGAATTCTTGCCAAAAATATTGTACTTATTGTAGAGGTCATAATGCGTAGGAAATGCATAGACACTCCCCAGTCTGCGTTGAACAAAGGGCCAATAATTATAACTTTCTAGGGAGCTGTCAACAACATCTAGAGCACCTGTCCAGCGCACTTCCCTTGTGATGTGCTTACGTGTCAGTAGCCTGAAGGAGATGCTTTCAGGTGCTGAAAAGTAGGCTCTCCCTGTTTGGTAGTCTCCTGAGAGTAGGAGAAGATCAGCCAGGATTCCCTGCTTTGGAGAGAGAGAGAGAGAGAGTATGAAAAGTCACCCAACCAAGCAGTATTACAAATTGGTTAATTTCTAAGTACCCTGTAATGTAGTGCCATACCTGTCCAAAAAAAAAGTGCCCTGAAGGTGGCTCAGCTTCCGACAAAGGCTGCGCATATTGCTGGGTCATTCACATTGAAAATGGAAAATAATAGAAAAAAAAGGAGAAAGATGCTAAAGTAAAATCTCCCACATAAGGGAGTGAGATGATAGAGAAACTCAGGACAACAAAGCTCATTCCATTACATGAAAAAAGTGCAAGGTAATTTTTAAAGCACTGAGTGTACTAACAGCCTGATACTATGTTTTTCAGCTGAGTTATAACAAGAATTGGTGCAGATGCTACAGTGAAAAAGCACTTTATTATGATGCTATGTCAAATTAACAGGCTTCTCAACGGAGTCACAATCCCACTTCAGAACAGGTCAGTGTTCAGAACACTGGGCTGCAGAGACACTCCTGAAAGTCTGAGAGACAGGATAACTTTTCTTTTTCACTATTTCCATGGAAGTTTTGTGTATTTCACTGTTTCATCTGTGCTTTAACCAAAAAAAAAAAAAAAAAAAAAAAAAAGGATTTTAACTTTTGCATGAATAAAATTAACTGAGATCTGGGAAAAAAATTGAGTTTGCTACAGCTTTTCAGTCCATAAAAGTCCCAGAAGCATTATAAAACAAGGCAATAATATAACTTGGGAAATTAATTTTTACTTAGCCACAATACAAACAAAAACAAATGCACCTCCAAAAAGTAGAAAGAACTTCTAAACAAACACAAAATATTGAATGTTATTTTGCAGTATTTTAGACCATTAAAATGTGAGTATGCTGCTTTTGAAACTACTGCTGCATCACTTCTCCAATAATCTTAATTTGTCTAAAAGTCTGAGTGTTTGCCTCCTCTCTAAAGCTCTCCTTTTATCCATCTATTCTGCTATACTTAGCATAATTCCAAATACAGAAAAATAAATTTACAGGACACTTACAGGCATTGTGCTGTACAATTCACATTTTGTTCAGACAAATCACCTTGTCTTTCTAGCGAGTATCTTTTAAGGTTGGTGTTGCTGAAGTACCTAAGCAATCAAGGTTTCTGAAACACATGAAAAAATAAGAACTGCAGTATTAAATTAAACTCAGAGTTCAACTAGTCCTATATCTTTTCTCCCGACCTTCCCCAAAGCAAAAAAAAAAAAATTACACAGAAGGCGAATGTCATATAATCTTTTCCTTCTATATCTCCTTGAATTTCAAATAGCTCCAGATTTTTTTAAAGTCTGAAAAGTGTGAATACAGTGGTCACCAGGCTCACATCAATACACAAAAACAAGGAAAAAGCAACATCTTTTTTTTTTTTCTGACGAGGATTTTCATTGGTTTCTCATGCAGTGAGAAAATATATCATATTACATTGTAGATAAATCTGATGCCAAATGTAATTTCTGAAATGGAGAATATTTTTAGATTTTATGACAGAAAAAAAAATATGGCTTTAAAATGGGTAATCTTCTATTTCACTAAATGTGCTGCCTGACTGAGACCTTGTACGCCAAGCTTCAGCCTGAAGCAAATTGTTATAGTCGAGCTATTAACTTCTAAAAATAGGGGGATATGATGGAAACATTAAGAAACCCACTACTGGGCACAACCACAATCCAGGGGAGGATGAAACAACACTTCTTTATTTTTCCTTCTTTACCTCATCACATTAGTGCAGTTTGTGGCACTGAACTGTGTCTGTGCTAAATGCATTTTGTTTAGCCACTTTCCTTCTCAACAGCAGCTTATGATGGTAATATTTAATCTGTCTCTCTCTCTCGTTTTTGAAGAAACTTAATAGAAGCCAAATACTTCAGGTCAGGCACTTGCTATTTGTGACTTAGTACTTAAAGCAGGTGCTGCTTCCTGTGGGAGAAAACAGACAGTCTGGAGGATTGCAAGAGTGATCTGAAATTAAAATGATTTGCAACAGGAGGTGTTTGCATTTTCACTTGAAGCATTTTGAGAAACAGAACAGTAGAGTTACATTTTGTAACAAAATGTGCAGCAGTGATTTACTTTTCTGTCACGAACTGTGCATTCTCTGTGTTTTATTGTAGTGTACAAAATTTCTCATCATCTGCTATTTATTTTACATTCAGCACTGTAAAACCAAAGAACAACTGACTCATGAGTCAGCAGGTGGGTGCCCCTCTCCAGAGGCATTCCATGCGTTTTTGCCAAACCATTTAGCACATCTGCAGCCTACACTAAATCATTTTTAAAAGTAATATCAGTAATAAGAGTCAGAGAGCCTTGAAAGGTATGTGTGGTATGTGTTCTGCAAACAGGCTCTCAACAAAAATCCCCAGAGCTAGGAACAACAGTAAAAATCACCTCAAAGGAGCAGTAGAGAGTGGAGAAAATGGATCTTGGTATAGAGGACATGCTATTTATGGAGGTCAATCTGCATCAGCGACATAACATTTCAGGGCTATTCAGCTATAAGCACATTCTCATCAGTCTGCAGGGTTTTAAGGAAAAGATCAAAAGATGAGCACACGCAGCGAGTGTGTGTGAGTGCTTCTCACTAACAGACTGCTTTTCTACTTTGACCACAGAGAGGTGTGTTGCAATCAAGGCAAAGACAAACTGGAAAACAGGCTTTAACACTCCACAAGGAAAAACTAAATCAATACACTTCAGTTCCAGAAAATGCCCTGCTTTGCAGGAATTTTTAGAAGTGTCAAAAAACTTAGAAGCCGGCTAGTGCCTGTGGTCCTGAGTCACCTGGATAGCCTAAAAGTCACTGTCCGTGCACTTCTGGACCAGCCCAAATTCTACAAATGTTTCACTGCAGGTAGATACCAGTTTGGATATAGACAGCCTGTTAAAATCAACTTAAAGTCTCCTGGAGTGTGTATACAACAAGAGATCTGCCCTTGTGCACAAACCTGCTCTTCAGAAATGCTTAGATAAATAAGCAACTTGTTAGAGTATTTTGCCTGCTTATGGGGACAAGATATTATATTCTCAGAATCCCACTTCTAATGTATCTCAATCCCTTTGGTAACCCTTTGGTTATTTGACAAGCAGGGTAATAATTTGTCATGCCAGAGTCTTCTATGTGTTTTTCAGAAATCTTATTTACTTCTGAAATCATGTTTTTTTTGATATTTTCTGGCATCTATGTCTGCTGTTCTTAAAGTGCTACCATACCATGCTTCCAAATCATCTGGTCATCTCAGCAAAACTGCCTCATTTACTTGCCGAAGAGCATATGACATTGTAAATCGAGGCCTTGGCAGCTGTGAGGTATGGCAGACAGACATCACACACATTCACAGTTTTGGTCACCTTGAATGCGTTCATGTAAGCGTGGACACATTCTCAGGTGCAGTGTATGCCTCTGCCCATATAGGACAAAAGGCTGCACATGTCAAACAACACCTAGTGCAAGCATTTTCAGTATTGGGGGTGCCAAAAATGATCACAACAGATAATGGCCCAGCGTATGCATCCAAGGAGTTCCTGGAATTTCTCCAGCAGTGGGGAGTGGAACATAAGACTGGCATTGCCCACTCCCCCACAGGTCAAGCTGTAGTCGAGCGTGCACACCAGACGCTCAAGCAGGTATTGAAAAAACAAAACAGCTCAGCTCCGTGGATGTCTCCACGAGAGAAGCTCTGTAAAGCCATGTTTACCATCAATTTTCTGAATTGTTCATTTGAAAATATGAGTCCACCGGTTGTGCGTCACTTTAACAGTGGCAACCAGTTCAAATTGTCTCAGCATCCCCTGGTCTTGATTAGGGATCCAGAAACTTGGGAAACCAAGGGTCCCTATGAGCTTGTGACCTGGGGTCGTGGCTATGCATGTGTAGCTACTCCCTCAGGCCCTCGGTGGATTCCCCAGAAGTGGGTGAAACCTTTTGTCCCCAAGAATCCAGGCCAGACAAAAGGGAACATGAAGCAAGTAGCTGATGCTTCAAAGAGAAGACGCTGCCAGATGGAAGAAGAGGAATGCTCCTGACCATAAATTCCTTCCAGCAGAAACAGAAACTTTAACATGTTCTTAAAATGTTTGTTTTTCCCTTTTAGAGAAAACCTACCTCCCACTCAACCCTGTGATGAACCCCATGCAAGTTGTCATCCTGCGAATGCTGAAAAGAATGTTTAAGGGCTGGGGATTCACGGGGTGGTGAACATCTGTTGTTAGATCAATTTTGTTACTCCTTGTTATTTTGTTCCTTGTAACCTTGGCATTCGGGACCCTGCTCAGGGTTGAATTGAGCCCAGTGAATTCCTGCAACCTTGTTTAACAAATAAGGGGGAGGTGTTACAGTGAGCTCATGGACATTCTGTTTCCCCTTCCCCGTGACTGTGATCAAGATAACCCCTGGATCCTCCTTTCTGCCCCAACGAGGTTGGCGGAGAGCCAGGAAAGCCCACCCTGTCCAAAACCTATATAGACCCCCTGAGATTTCCTGTTTGCTCTCTTTTGCCCCGCTCTCCACATGGACACCACAGAATAAAGAGAGCTGTACCAACATACCCTGGCGTGAGAGCCTCTTTTGAATACCTATACCCCTCTCCTGATATTCCTCCCCTCACAGCCCCTTATCTCTGAGCTAGTCGGATTCTTCGGCGACTGCGTAAGGGGGGGAAACTACAGTAAATCACCTTCTATGAATTTCTGCCAATATAGTTTAGACAATACACAGAACAGTTCTCCCACAAAAAATTTTCATTTCTCTTCAATCTCAATAAGGTGAATGTTTATCTGTCTCCACACCCGTTGTTGTTTTAGTCTGTGTTGGCACCTGGAAGCTCCAGAGAACCTGATAATAGAAAACTACTTCTTGCATGTGACAAAGATTTTGCAATGTTTGTCAAAATATTTATTACTTCTTATTTAAAGTAATACTTGCCAGGTCGTGAAATACTAAACCAGTTGTTCTGAATACTGGATCTCAGTAAGTATGCAGTGTTCCATGTTTCAAAAATATTATATTCTCCAGATAAAGCCACCTGACTTAGTATAGTTTCAAATGTTGAAGTTACTTTGTTTTCTTTAGGACTTTATGGGCATTTTGTGGATGCCCTGCTAGTTCTGTGAGGTCCAAAAAACAAAGCAGAAGCAAGGAAGCAACTATGTTTTTTGGAGTGTTGAAATTTTATGCAGACCATAAAATAAAGCTGAAGATAAAATGTTGCCAAAAACAAAGAGAATAAACATGAGGGGAACAAAAAAAAGAAAAACAAACAAAAAAAAAAAAAAAACAGGAATCCTGGAGGAACAGTAAAAAAGAAGCAGAAAGGAAAATTGAGAAACTGAGAAAGGAAAATAGAGAAGCCATAGAATCTACATAATTTTAATGTACAGGAAAGATTCAATTGATTTTTTAATAGCTTTCAACTTGCAAAATTTCATGCAAATTAAGAAGTATGCCCCATATTCACCAGTGACATAATTCCACAAGGACAATTATAACTGATAAGTGTAAATCATGTTCAGTTAATTGGAAGTAATGGATAGAACAAAGTAAATAGATAAGGTTATATATATATATATATATATATATATATATATATATATATATAAACACAAAATATAAAATATATATGTAAAAACATAAAATAGGTTTTTGCTGCGCAACATAAAATGTGTTTTGATAATAGCAGATAGTAATTGATAAGTATGTTCTTAAGAGGGAAGGGTGGGTAGAAATGAAAAAAAGGAAAAACAATAGACCACTTTGTAGATACACTACCAAGCAGACCAAAACTGCCTACTGTGTTTACACAAGAGAGCACAGCAGCTTTATGGAGGAGAGACATTCACCAAGATGTCATGCCAGCATACTGGTCCTGGTTAGTGCATATAGAAATCATGTCATGTCCTGTTCCTCCTTGCCTTCACTCCTGCAGCAGTGGCCAAAAAGATACAGGAGAGTGACAGTTGTGGGCTGTTGCTGTTCACGATTGTGAAAATAAAAGAGTTCACTTCCTGGCAGCTGATTCTGCTCTGCAAGCAGAACATAAAAATTTCTTAACGGGAAGAAAGAAATGCTCTGAAGAGCATCCTGGAGCAATACAATAGTGAGATAAATAA